GTCTAATGCGAAGACTATCATTTGAGAAATCTAGAAATAAATCTAAAAATACTATAAATAACTATAACTCATAAACTTACTGTCAACTCAAAAATGTAACACCGACTATGAGGTCGGGTGTGATGTACCCCAGCCACCTTTGCTCATGTGTATCTTCCACTGACACCAGCAAAACACTAAACTCAACACTGCAGCTCGTCCCCCACTCCCTTACCTCCAGCTACTGTAAAAACAGGATTTGCTTGGCAACAATAACATTAAATAATCTGTGTTTAAAATCGCGGGTATGACATACCCCACCTCACTCACGCTGGGTTAATGAAATCTTAATTATTTTAAATCCTTCATTTTCTCATATCTTAAGTTTTCTACCACTCTTACCTTCTCCCACTTAACATGTACTGTACATTTCTATCATCACATTATCAGATCTTAAACTCCTTTTGTACTCTTTCAATTTTTTCTGAAGATACTTCTCGTAACTCCATATCTCAGTTGGAGGAGGGAAGAGGATTATTTTTTAATATAGTTTAGTAAGAAAGGAGGATCAATTATGTCTCTTATTTTCAGACTTATATTCTTGATGTAATATTATTGTTTTTGTTTTAACTCTTAATATTCCTGAAAATGGATTATAGAAATCCAAAAGCACTAGGATAAAAAAAAATGGAAAAATCCAGAAAATCAGATTTTTTTTGTACAAATTATTAAACAAATTACTAGCTTAAATAATGATGTTTTGTATGCACATCATTTCTTCACTCAATAAGACAAAGTTTGTAACTTCAACCACAAAGTTAAGCATGCAAACCATTCTTTCTGGATCCTTTCAGATATAAATAACATACTACAATTTTTTTGAAAAATTTTAGATGAAAATTTAAAATTTATAAGTATTCCTTACACCCGCTTGCTGTAGAAATGTTTATCCAACAGACAATAATCAGTCATTAAAATATTTTTTTTTTCTCTCCTATAATTAATATTTAAATAAAAGAAAGAAAAAATACCTTTTCTTGTTTCTCTCTAACAAATTTGAAATGACATTTATAATTCTGAAATTAATTTATATAAAACTGCATTATCCCAAAGCATTCATTCAAACCACATTCATCACAAAACTGGGAAATGAATGGCCAATACATTTTCTATTTTCAAAATTATCGTATTCAATATATACTCTATGCAGACTATTGCAATCATATGTACACAAGACAAATAACAACACAATAAGTTTAGTATTCCTACATAACATTAGTTATGATTGTATACACTGCAAAATCAGTCATATAATATTGCTTTATATAATATAATGTCATATAATATTAGAATACTTAAAGGTTAATGCTTGATAATCATATTTAATCTTCAATTGACATTTATTGAACAATGGTATGTTAGCAGAAAATTTGAACATTGATCATTCCATAAATAGGAATGTCCTAAATCTATTTGTTCATCCAAATGCTTTCATAGAGCTGTGGACCCCCTTTTTTTTTTAAAGATAAGCCTCAGACCCTCATATTACTTGAACATTTTGGTATATGTGCAGTAGCTGTAGTTGAAAGGTTGATAGCAATATTCAAAACAAATGAGTCAAAAAAATATAGCATATCTAGAAGCTGTTCAATCTACATATCATGTTCCTTTATTTATTTTGAACATTCCTTCCACATCTGGTTCAGCATTTCCTACTTTTAACTTAGAAACTGTCTCCATGTTGAGCCTAATTTAATCTTTTTCTTCAGATAAAAAAATATATCAAAAAAGTTTGTGAACATAGTAGATATTTAAAGCTTTTACATCTTGTTTATTATAGTCAGAAAATATTTTTGTCACAGACCTTCTATATTGGTACTTGGTGAATGACTGTCATATGTGTTCCATTCAAATGTTCTTTCAAATTTTTTGAAAAAAAAATCTCTCTCTGGAGCTTTTGAATGGAGGGGGTTTGAAAAACAAGTAATGCTCCCAGTAGAACAAGAAATAATTAGTAGGTAAGTATAACATCATAAAAAATCAACACAACAAAAGTCAAAAATAAGAATAATTAGTAACACTGACTATAATTCAAAGAAATTCCAAACAATTGAAATGGTGCTACAATCTTTAAAAATAATATAGTCATTTCTTTCAGAGAAATAAATCATCAGCTGTTCTAATGGCCTTAAATCATGTCTTTCTCTAACAGGACTGATCAAGGTGGTTCATGAAACAGTACCTCTATCTCTGCATGTATTGCCTGGGTGCCTGAAGCTGAAGTATGCAACCCTTTCTTTATATTAGCTGCATGCTCCTGTAGCTTTGCCACAAGGGAGTGGGTGGTTATTCTGATATATTCTCTTTTTAGTTCTTGGTATTTCCTATGATAGTCCAATCTTTGATGATCTAGAAAAATATCTAATCATTCCAAGAATTGCAGATATGTTCAAAGTTTAAAACAGAATAAGACATTTCTGCTTAGTTTAGCTCTCTGGGCTTTCTCTGGGCTAAAGATTTCTTGTCTTTTGGTTTTTTGACAAGAATCATGTTTACTTTTGTAAACATCTGTGCCGACTGAAACTTTTCTCATCAGCTTTTTGCTGAGGAGACTCATTTCTGAGTATGCAGTTATGCTCATATAGACTTGTGCATCAGGTTCTGTTTTTATTTTTAACCCTGTGATGTTCCTCAGCTTTCTTTCAGGGGTCTACTGTTTTACTTCAGAATCTCTAAGAAATTTTCTATGGGGTGCACAATGGACCTTTTAGGTCAAGGTTTATTTGGCCTATTGGTCTCCCCAATACAATAAACAATGGTAGGCTGAAACATTGTTGGCTGCATGGTAGTTTATTAGAAAACAGTAATGATATAATATCTTGTTATTAAGGTAGAATGTCACCTTATTTGTGAATAAGTCTCAATTTGGATTCAATCACACAAAGCCACCCACTGCTTTAGAAGTTTTTTTTTATCATTGTCAGTTTATCAAATATACATTTTGATACTCATTGAAGGTCTATTAATATATCATCATGTTTTAATTAACAAATTTGCTTTACTTTCATTCTCTATGCACTGTTCTGTATTGTACATTTTTAAATTGAATTGTAATGTTATAAAACAGTACTTTCATATACATAATTTAATGCTTTGTCAGTTAAATGATATTTGAACAGACTTGATGATGTGAATGTAACTTAATGTATAATACATTAAGATTCCACATATTTATGTAACTCAATTATATTCATTGTAATTTATTTAATTAATGTGATTTTTCAGGTGTTCACATTAATCCAGAATGTCCAACACCACTATGTGCAGCTGGTTGCTTTGTGAAAGAAAATGATAAAAATGGTTGTCCGACATGTGCCTGTGAAGCTGAAAATGCACCTTTAAGTAAGTCTATATAATTCTGAATTATTAAACAAAACTTAATTTTAGCAAAATATCAAGAATCTACTGTATTTTATGGCATGTGAGACGTGACTTTAGTTCAAAGAAAAGACTAAAAAAAATCTTGTCCTGAATCTTACATCCCTTGTGGTCTCCCTTAGGCTACAGGTAACCTTTACCTAACTCAACTCTTGAATAAAAATGTTATAATAATATTCATGAGGATGGGAAATTCAATGGCATCAACAATGCTATAGAAACCCAACACAGTGCAACCAACTAATGCCACCTAGGCCAGACATTGGTTACATATCTCCCTTACCTCATACCAAATGGACTTTCCATCCCATTCCATGCACTTTTGCAGTGGATCTAAGTGGTTTAGGTTTGTGTATTAGTGGGGATTGATTCTATTAAATTTTGGTGCTTAAAGATTGAAGGGATAGAGAGATAAAGGAGGGTTGTGTATCATATTGTGAGAGGAGTCGGACTTAATGAAGATTTTACTCATTATTAGCATTTACAATTTTTTATAAAATTCATCCCTACTCTCAAAATGGCAAAAAAGCTTAATTTTATTTTAAAAATTTTGTATACAGTAGAGCCTCGATTATCCGACTCAATTGGGGACTGGGGTTGGTCGGATAATTGAAAAATTGGATAACCGAAAAATATGAAAAAATCCATTATTAGTATAGTATATTAGTATTAACCTACTTCACGTTGAATTTTCATCGATGTTAAGCCTAACAAATATTTTTTTAAAATAATCGTAGCTATTGTATCATTAAAAATTAGAAAATTAAGCCTCTTTTAAATACTGGCTCCCTTTCATGGTCGAATGAGTGTTGCCAGCTAAAACACGTAAAAATAATATTAAAGTAGCCAAGACATAGCCAAATATTGTAGCGCCACATCACTAGCAGACATTTGAAATTTGCTGACTAGGACAGTCGGTTAACCGAGGTATCGGTTAATCAGGGGTCGGATAATCGAGGCTCTACTGTATAACAAATGGAGCCACATGCAGTTTTAAATGTTGCTAGGAAAGTTAAGCAATGCATTGCTTGATTTTTTAGAGCTCAGTAAAAAAGCAATGATAATGAGTGTCAAAAGAACAGGATAGCTTAAATACATTAAATACTTTTCTTAAACATTTTGTGTTGAAATGGAAATGCATCTTATATGCTATAAAGTACAGTAAATTCAACCATATAAAACAAAAGTTCCATTTACTGTATCTCTCAGTTAAACTGCTTTTTTAGTTCAATCTTATTGTTATATTACAGCTGATTTGAAGACTTGTGTTCTTCCAAATTGCACTGGCCATAATTGTTATTATGCACTTGGAGAAGATGGGTGTCCTGACTGCTCTTGCGATCCACCCTGTGGAGTCTGTCCTCCAGATTGTCAAGAACAAACAGATGTTCCCGAAGGCAAATGCCCAATATGTATGTGCAATGAAATAGTCGAAAGCAGTAATAGTAAGTAATTACAGGTATTCATTATTGCTTTGAAAAACATAAATTTTGTTTAAATATAACAAATCTCATTTTTAAGTTGCTGAAGTAACAACTTGCCAAACACCAGTTTGTGAAGGGGTCAACTGTAATATCAAAATTGATGAAAATAACTGCACACAATGCATATGTGAGCCTGAATGCGATATTCCAGTCTGCAAACCTGGTTGCAAATTAGAAACAGATGTCTCCAAGGATAAATGTCCAAAATGTAACTGCTCAGTAGCCACTGGTGAGTTATCATTATCTCTAAATTTAATATTTTATTTAACAATTTTTATACTAAAATTGAATATATTCTTTCATTTTGTTTTTTTAGAAAAAAAACCTTGTCCCACACCTTTTTGTGAAGGAAGTAATTGCACAATGGTAATTGATGAAGACAACTGCACAAAATGTGTATGTGCTCCACAATGTCAACCACTTAAATGTGAAGAAGGTTGTACTTTAGAAAAGAATGTTTCAAAAGAAGAATGTCCACAGTGTGTATGTAAAGATGAAGACAAAGATAAAGTTAATGGTAAGTAATTTGAATGTACGTTAATCATTAATTACTTGTCTTCAACAATACAAAATAATAATTTAAAAACAGATTCAGATATTTCAATGTATAGCTATTTTGACTTGCTATTATATATATATGATTTAGCTTATTTAATAATAATCTTTGTATTATTTGATCTCAAATGAATATATTCATACCAAATTGGTTGTATCTAACAGCAATATTACACAAACACTCAAAAAACCAGCCAAAAGCATCTAATTTTGATATCAAAAACATTTTCATTTGTCTACAACAATCATCATCAGGTAATGGAATGTAATGCTTTTAAACATAACATTTAAGGTGATCAAATCTTGAGGAAAGTTATGAATGTGTTAGAAAGTTTATATTCCCCTTGACTGATGATACATTTGTGCATGTCAGAATTGATTGAAGTTATATCAGTTAGAATTGTAAACACATTTACAAAAAAATATATTTCTTGACAGACTATGCATGCAAGACGAGTCCATATCATTTGGTCCTTTCACATGCTATTGAGGCATTAGTGCCTCAATAGCATGTGAAAGGACCGAATGATATAGACTTGTCTTGCATGCATAGTCTGTCAAGAAATAATTTTTTTGTAAATGTGAATTCATCCTGGCAATTTTTTAAAAATCAAATGTATTCATTGTTCTATTCAGTTACCTGATGATGATTGTTGTAGACAAATGAAAAAGTTTGTGATATCAAAATTAGATGCTTTTGTCTGTGTTTTTGCATGTGTGTGTGTGTGATATAAATTTTAAATTCATTTTATCAATATCAATATAAAATGCAATATATTCTGTTTTAGTTCCCAAAACTAAAGAAGAAGAAGTATCTTCTGTAGAAGATACTACAATAGCTCCTGTTGTGGTAGAGACCACTACAGAAGTCAAATGTCCCGCACCGGACTGCAGAGGTTATAATTGCCGAATTCTAGTAGGCCTGAATGGATGTCAGACTTGCACCTGCGAAAGTAGGTGTCCACCTACCAGTTGCATTCCAGGATGCACCGTAGAAGAGAATCCTCCTCCGGATAAGTGTCCTGGCTGCATCTGTCATCTCACAGCAAAATCAGAAGGTCAGTTTCTGCAAAAATTCTCATTTAATTTAAATTAATGGAATAGCATTTAATTAAGTATAGTTGTTTTCACTTTTTTAGATCCAAAGGCAAATGAATCATGAAGATTCAATTGATGCAGCAGAGTAAATATTAGAAGCTCTATCATTCCATCAAAATTTTGAAAATTATGATTATTATATCTTACTGTGATTTGGTGTCGAGAGCACACGACGCAGTTCCATCATTATTTTACGAGGAGATTTCTCTGCAAAAGATCACCTTCCATTAAATATATATTTTATTCGACTGTTGTAATTCACTTATTTGTTTTCAGAAATTTAAATATATATTTGTATAAAAGATAATATGTGTTTTGTTATTTGAACTAAAGGATCACTATATAAAGATATTTCCTTCAAATTTCTAATCATAAACTATCAGAATGTTTCTGTACAAAAGAATCATCTGATTTTAAGAAGTAAAATCCAAAGGACAGAAAGGGTATATTGCTTTTGCTTTCCCAAATCTTGATCATAACACAATTACTTGAAAGAAAATTTCAATTTACATTATGATAGCTGAATGCTTTTGCTGTCGTACATAAATAAAAAATTTGCCTGTATGTATCTAGTAAAGATTATATACAAATACTCGTTGCATTTCTTCATCTTAACTGATTATATTATTATATAATTAACATCCAGAATATAAATAAAGCAAAAGGAAAATGAGATATAAACTAAAAACATTTTTGCAACTCATTATGATTAAAAGGATTGACTATTTCAGCATGCTATAAAGGACAAAAATATTTTAGATTCACTATTCCAACCACACACTATTCTTAATTCTTTTGAAGGTTTACATATACAAGCTCACACTAATAATGAATTTTGGCCAATTTCAATAATGCCAATCACAAGAAAGCTTAATCTGCACTGTTCTTTTGTTGACTGAAAGTAATTGTGTCATAATATACAGTATAACAGAAGTTCCCAACATATTTTAATTGGTTATAAACAAAAGAAAAGTCAAAATAGTTTATTGAAGACACAAAATATCAAAAAAGATTAGTTATCATATACTAGATACATCCAACACACCTTATTGCTGAGAAACATATATTTATTACACAAAACTAACGTTTTCGGCCCAATTTATGGGCCATCTTCAGGTTACCGTTGTTCGACTCTAATATAACATCGAACACGTTCAAAATTAAACCAAATTAGAACATACGTTTAAATTAAACTAATAGAATAAGCACAACCAAAATAAAACAATAAATAATAAAAAACCAAAATAACACAAAAANTTTATTTTGAAAAGGTTTCACACTTTTTACTGATGCTGAACAAAACAGTTTGTTAATATAATTAGCAATTAAATATAAGAAAGTTTAAGTTTGATTTTATAAAGAACACATTACGTTTAAATTAAACTAATAGAATAAGCACAACCAAAATAAAACAATAAATAATAAAAAACCAAAATAACACAAAAAAATGAAAAATAAAATACGGTGATTGGCCGCAAACACTAAGAAACAATTCCTTATACATTAACCCAGATATCTATTGAGTCACGGCAGATGCATTATTACGCGTGTTACTTCTTATTATGTATTTCCAGGATGATGGTAATATCGTCGCATCCTTATAATTTAAATATCTGTCAGCCAAACTCGCTCTGTAAATTTCGCATTTCTCAGTTATGGATGACAACATTGGCGAGCGTACTTTGTATAAATTGGGCCAAAAACGTTAGTTTTGTGTAATAAATATATGTTTCTCAGCAATAAGGTGTGTTGGATGTATCTAGTATATTGCTTAAGAGGCTGAGTCTGAGTAAGTGATTAGTTATCAGCTTAAATTATTAATAATGTAAAGGATTAATTTTTCCAGATGATTTTGTCAGAGTATGTGGTGAGAGCTGAACTAGTGCAAGAATCAAATGCACTTGCCAAATCACTAAATGAACATTCAAATATTGCTAACTCCTGGACAACAGTTTCTCCAACAGGAATGAATGCTTTGGTTCTTTCCGTGTATTTGAAAACTAAATACATGATTCGCCCATCATTAGTCTTAATGAATTTTACTTTTCACAAATATGAACCTTACAGAGTTTGTGCACAAGTTCCTATTTGTGTGGAATACTAATAATTTTAAAGTATATATGAAAATTTATTTAAACTATTAATTTTATTATGGAACCCCAAATTTCATTGCTAGGTTTCTGTGGAACATAAGTTGGGGAGTTGGGAATTATTGATTTGTAAAATAAATTTATTATAATGCTTTAGATATTCCTACAATATAAAATAAATATAAATATTAAAAATATAATAATCATAAACTTACTTGATAATTATCATGGTAGTAACCAGATCAAAGTGTGATACCAGCTTGGACGTTGCCCGGGTTAACAAGGTCTGCGTTTGTGGGTTAGGCAGAGGCTCACGTTAGAAAAATAGGCCACATTCTCCCTTGGTTACTGGTGGCAAAAGCAGCACCAGCCCAAGCATGGCTACTGCAATGCCCTCAACAGATGTGAGGAACCAAGCTAGCCTTGGTGTTTCTGTGGCAATGCATCCACAGACCACAAAGGCTGGAAAACCATACCAATGGATAAAATGGACATCAGAAATGAACGAGTTTATCATCCGTACTTACTACGCAATCACAAAACTCGAAACAAACGTGACAGCATACAGACAACAACTACACCATGGATTCATACAACAATATCCTTACCTCACTGTCACCGAACAAAGGGTTGTCGATCAAAAAGAACAATTATACACAACAACCTTATCCCACAAACAACACTTGAACTTATCAAACAACAGGTTGCTGATCAAATACATCAACAGACAGAAACATTTAACATTAACGAAGATCACGTAACCTGTCAGGATAATCCAGCAACAAGCATTGATAAAAGCATACATACAACAGCTACAACTAATGATACTACAGGCACTTCCTCATCCATCACTGATAACATAGACATAGATTTAGTTAATACACTCTCACTTATATTTCAGGAAACACTCACTAAATATACTGGTACAGAT